GCTAGGATTACAGGCGTGAGCCACCGCGCCCGGCCCACCATTTAGATTTTAAAACAATGTCACTTACATTAGTAGTTAGCTATTTGACAAAATGACTAGGATCTGGAAATTATTTGGATGTGAGGTGAGAAAGATCCCTAGGTTTTGGTCATGAGTAAAATAATAGTAAAAATTATAAAAATGATAGTAACATTATAGAAATTTTACAATATCTAGGATACTTCCATCTTCACAATCTCCTATGATTACGGTTGGTATATTTATCACCAGGAAAACACAATCACAAGCTAAAATCCTACAAAATGTACTGAATTCTGGAGCACAATAACTTGTGTGCCCTCTTAAAGCTTAGAAAAAAAATGAGCAAATTGAGGATAAATTAAAGAGGCTCTACTTGACGCAGTAGATAGCAAACTTTGCCAAACCAAAAAAAACAAAACAAAACAAAAAAAACCACTTTCTCCCAAGAAATAGCCCAGGCCAACATTTATTTAAAATACTGAAATAGATTAAAATATGACACATCTACAGTGACTTATTAAGGGAAGCCCAGGATTTTGAGGGCATGGTCCCTAACATTTATGGTGGATGCCAAGGAAGATTAAAAAGCTACTCTCCCACAGCACAGCTGTTGATGCCTTTATCATCCATAGTTTAGGCTAGATGGGCAAAAGGTCTGCTCCAAATTGGCAATCCTTATGTTCTATATTATGCATGTTTCATCACTGTGTTCTAGAAGAAGAAAGACCATCACCACCAACCAACATCCTCTCATTCTGGTGTTATCTAAAAATACCTGCAGACAGTATTACCCTGCAATTACCTCACACTCCTGCCCATCAGCCATAGCCACCTCCTACCTCCCGCTCACTAATAGCACAGTCCTGTATCACCTCCTACTCAGCCAAGCAACACTACTGTAGCTGCTTTAGATACACTCATATCTATATATATAGTCTCATATATAAATATATATTCAGACATATACTCATGTGCATGCAAAAATGCTTTTACAAAAGAAAAAGGGAAAGCTAGTTATGTGAAAGTGGCTGCACTTTGGAAAGTTAGTGTGATATGCCATTTGGGAAATAGTTCCTGTTCTCTCTGGGTGTTCACCTAAATGCCTATAGAGAGGCATTTAGTCATCCTAGACATGAGCAGTATTTGGTTTTATTGCCTCTGACTCTTGAGCAATTGGAACCTCCATGTCCTAAGTTCATTGCATTAGACCTTATAGTTCCCTCTTTTTAATACTATTATATTATAAACTTAATATTTATGACATTATAATTTGGGGACCAGTCTGGAGCATTTTCTGTTTTAAGAATATTTTTATAGATACTATACTTAGCAGTCAACAAATATCTATTCTACTGCTACCTGTTTTTACTGTCTTTTTCTTTATTAGTATTATGTAGTAAATCCCTGAGGTATTGATATATCATTTCAAGAGAGAAGTGAGTGAGATGGAAAGGAATCAGGAGCAGGCATAGGAGAAGCAACAGAAACAAGAATGGGAGATGCTCATCTCTGGTAGCAACAGCAGGCAAAACCGCTATTAGCATAATCAGAGCAACCACGGCTTGCAGCCGAGAGCAGGAAGCCTGTGACTGTCAACTCATCTGCACCTAGCAACAAGCCCAAATGAACACCACGGAGTAGCACCTAGGGCTGTGAACAGTAACTGAGATCACAGTTGGGGAAGCACTTTGAGGGTGAAAATGGCATCAGCATGCAAAGGAAAGTTTCCCTGACTGCCCCGTCATGTCACTTGCAGGGATCATTTGTAGAACAGTGATTGAGCAGACGGGAGAGTGGGCACTGTGGAGAGAGGACTAGGCTAGTTGTCAGAAACTCAGGATTCAATCCTGACTCTGACACCAACTTGTTCAGTGACTCTGAGCAAATCTCTTCAAATATCTGAGCCTTAGTTTTTCCCATCTGGGCAATAGCTACCTCTCCCATCTGCCCTACAAAATTATTGTAAACATTTAATTAGAATTGTATGTGAAATGCTCTAGAAAGTATAGCATAGGATATGGCTGTACATTTATGACTGAAAGATTCCATCTGGATACCATCCACATCCCAAACTAAAATAAGTATCTTCCACTGCCCCCAACTTTCCTATCTCAGTTCATGACACCATGTTACTAGAACGTAAGCTCTACCACGGGGGCAGGCATTTGAAACAGTGCCAAACATACGGTGAGCCCTCAATTAATATGCATTCTACGAATAAGGAAATGTACTCAATTGTCCAAATAAGGGCATGTTATCTGTGATGTCGTCTTGTTCTTCATTCGGATACATCTAAATCCCCTCCAGGTGGCTGAGACACCTGTCTCCCTCAGTCTCTTCCACTCAGTGTGCTAATAAATGTTTAACTGGCTCTCAGAGAAATATTTCTGGTATTTTCCAGTTTTCATGGGGTACTATATATTCCCATTATGGCTGATTTCAAGCTACCACCATAATTCCAAGTGGAGCTGGGAAGAGATGTCAACCATCAAATTGCCTGGGCTGGTGTGAGTCAGCTCAGCTCACCACAGCTTCCACTGCACTCATCCTAGTTAAGATCCTATCCTCTAGCAGTCAGGCTTGACTCCTACATGCTCCTCATTATGCCCACCATCCCCACTGCTGTCAGCATGATCTTGCAACCATAAACATCTGATCATGATGTTTTCCTACTTAAATACCTTCAATAGGTCCGTCAAGCTGACATCCCAAATCTCAGATACATGGCATGACAAACAAGGCATCTCCTAGCCTGAAGCAGTTTACTGAGACTCTTTTCAGTCCCAACCTGGGCACTAGCCATACTCAACACAGTTCCTTTAGGAGCTTATGCATTTTTGTTTCTTTCTGCTTTTGATCATTCTGGTCCCACTTCCAGGAAAGGCACTTCCCTTTCCTCTCCACCTGGTAGACCACCTGCATGTTCTCCAGGCCCAAATCAAGGAGCACTTCCACATCAAAGCTTTCTCTGATCCTGGTGGGTACTTCCTCTTTACCCCTCACCTATCAGCCCCAGGCAGAATGAATTTTTCACTTACCTGCATCTCCATATCATTGCATCCATATTTCTACAGTAACAAGTATCAATTTTTATTATAGCTGTTTGTTTATTGCTCTCTGTTCTGCTGCTCTGTGAGCTCCTCTTTAACAGAACATGGTTCTTTATGAGGCATCCGCAGATATGAAGCACTTGATTGAGGTCTTTCAAAGGTTTGCAGCTCAGAGTGCTCGGTGGTCCAGCAGCATTAACTTAGCCTGGGATCTTGTTCGAAAAGCAGAGTCTCAGACTTCACCCAGACCTACTGAGGCAGAATTTGCATTTTAAAAAGATATCTTGATGATTCGTATGCACATTAAACTTGAAAAGCTCTGGTCCAAAGAATAATAACTAGGGTCAATTATTGATGAACTTGACACCTAGGCAAAGATATTAACATCTTTGGGAAATAGGAATCTATTGACAGTTCTTGAAATGATGAAACATCATACCAAGAATACTATTCATAGATAATTAATCTCTCAGTTTAGTGAAATGATTTAAAAGGATAAGACTAGAGCAGTGGTTCTCAACTAAGGACAACTTTCCCCCCCTCCACCTACTAGGGAATATTGGGCAATATCTGGAGACATTTTTAGTTGTCACAATTGGGAAGGTGCTCCTGGGATCTAGTAGGTAGAGGTCGTGGATGTTGCTAAACATCCTACAATGTACAGAACAGCCCTTCAAAATGAAGACACTCATCCATTCCAAAATGTTAATAGTGCAGAGGTTGGAAAACCTTGAAATAGAGGAATGAGAAACAGGAAGCTAATAAAATAATACAGGCACATAGTAATGAACCACTGCCTGCGTCAGGGCAGTGCTAGGTCAGCTCAGAGAAAGGGGAAGAATTAGAGTTGCTTCAAATAAATTTGCAGAATTGACGAAGGCTAAAAGAGAGGAAGTAGAAGGTGGCTCCAAGATTTTCCCTTTAGGTGAAAGGAAGAAACACTGGCAATAGGAACAGCTGTCATTTATTTTGGGGGCAAAAGAGATGCATAGAAGCAAGATACAGAAAGAGGCAAGTCACAGGTCACAGGGATTCTGATTTTACTAAACTTTTTTATTGAGCACTTACTATGTTGATGGCCCTGTGCCCTTGCATATATTTGACCATATTTAAGCCTCCAACCACAACATTTGCTGTTGATATTGATAGTTTTTTTCTGCTAAAGCAACTAATGTTCAAAGAAGTTGAACTAAAGAAAGAATTAGGTCTCAAACCCACAACTTTGGACTTCCAACCCCAATACAGTCTTCTTTCTGACAGACATAGCAATGGAATTTTATCACTTGCTACTGATTAATCATGGTGGGCTGCCTGTCCATGACAGGCATTAAAGATGCCTGTCATGGAGCAGGAGGGAGGCATTTTTCTGTGCTATGTGCACCCAGAGTCAGAGATTGTAGACTCATTCTGTCATTCATTGTAAGGACCAGACATAAGTGTTTGAGATCAAAATTATTATAGTTCTAATAAGTCATGAAATTTTTCTTTTTCATGTCAGAAGAGCACTAAATCTGAACCCTATTTCTTCTTACAAACCAATGAAAATGGACTAAAAAATGGTAGCATTGAACATACTTTATTTTCAATTAATATTCACATTATTAAGGTCATTGAACATACACAAAGTTCTACTCATCTTTTTATTAAAGTCAAACCAAAATTATTTTCAGTTTATCTCAAAACCGTGGTGATTAAGTAATAGATCACCAATTTTGAGACCCAGAGAGGAGATCTGAGTCAGCACAAAGGAAGGGGAAAGTAAAAGACAGTTTCCTTTTCTACCCTTTCTTGCCCTACAAATGTGTACCTCAATCCCCTGCCTGACAACCCGTAAAGATACCTCCTTTCTGTATCTTTTGTTGATCCTTCCAGATATCTTTAGTTTTTTCCCTCATCTGGGCTCTCAGCACAGAATATATTCTTCTGCATAATACACTATATTAATTACTATATTAATTATTTATTGGCATGTTTATATCTCTACTAGGGAATTACTGTTTTTTACATCAGGAGCTGCTTTTGGTTCAATATGTAGCATTAGCTCATAGAACAGTGCCTGACTCCCCATAGTACTAAATCAATGCTTTTTACATTTAATTAGCATAAACTCAGTCTCAGCAAATGAGTATTTTAGCTTCTACCTTTTGCAGCACCTTTTTCCCCTTTCAAATGTATTTCACCTTCCTAAGCTGTTTACATCAAAGTATACGATGTACACTGTTTAAATAATTTAGCAAAGTATAAAAAAAGATAGAGATTTGGCTTCTTAGCATGATGTTTCCTAGGTTCATCCACATTGTAGCTTGTATGAGTATTTCAATTCCATTGTATGGATATATCACATTTTGTTTATCTATTGTCTGTTGGTGGATATTTGGGTTGTTTCCACTTTGGGGGTATTGTAAATAAGAGCTGCTACAAATATTTGTATACAAGTTTTTGTTTGAACATCTGATTCAACTTATATAAAATACCAAGGATAGGCAAATCATAGAGACATAAAGCAGATTAGTGGTTTCCAGGGCTTGGGGGAGGCAGGATGAGGGAGGAATGAGGTGCTACTACTAAACAGGTACAGAGTTCCAATTTGGGATAATGGAAAAGTCCTTGAACTAGATAGTGATGTTGGTTGCACAACATTATGAATGTACCTAATGCCACTGATAATTACACTTTAAAATTGTTAAAGTGGTAAATTTAATGTTACATATATTTTACTACAATAAAAAAAATTCTTATAATGGGTAGAAAGACAATATAATTGGACCAAGATTAGCTACCAGGAGTAAGATTGTTTTGTTCATGAAAAACATTCCAACTGCAGTTCTGCAGTTTGCCTGAGTTTGCATGCAGAAACTGAGATGCTGTTATCAATGCTGATGAAACCTTCATCTATTGCTGTTGGTGGTGTTTGTACAAAAATTTTCATAGCAGTTTTATAATATATGTCAGCACCTATAACAGTGTTTATGCATTTAAATTTGGAATACTTCTAGGGATTTATTTTAAGGAACAATTTCACAAGAACAATATAGCAATGTTCATAAAAGCATTTGTTACAAATATGCCTATATTAACTAAACGTTGGGAGGAAATCTTTGACAATAGTGTACGGAATTGTTATTAGGCACACATTATTTAGCACAACATTAACATGATAAAACACAAATGGAAACTATTTAAAGATTTAATATTAAGTAAAAAGAACAGAATAAGTTTTAACTCAGCATTAATATAACTTATTTAAAATCTGTGCAAAGAATTGATTGACATGGAGAGTTGCATATTGAAAGGGAAAGTGTGATCAGACTTAAAATGACTTTCTTTCTTTAAAACATTTCTTTACTATACACACAGTTACTCATCCTTTCAAAAAAAAATAGTTTTGAACATCTAGAGTGTGCCAGACACTATACTAGGAGTTGTGGCCGCCAAGATGAACAAGAAAATTAGGTTTCCCCCCACCAAGTTTTCATTCTAACAGAGATAATACACAGATGCAAATAGTTACAAAATTAATTAATTGCAATTGTGACAAGTGGTATGAAGGAGATATATAAAGAATCTTACTAATATGGACATCTTTTATTTGAGGCCTCTGTTGCACATTCACTGGAAATTGTCTAGCAACTGTTGAATATCAGTATCCAGAGGTGAGAAGAGATATAATATAATCATGGGGGTTATTAGTCTTTCAGTGGTAACTTAAGCCATGGCAATTGCCAGGACTGCCTGGAAAGGAAGTGCAGACTGAGAAGATAAGAAGGCTTAAGAATAAGAGTGCAAGGAATTTCAATAAACAGAAGCAGTTTAGTGTAGTTGTCAAAAACAGGGACTCTGGAGTTATATTTCCTAGGTTCAAATCTCCAACTCTGAGAGTTACATAACTTCCCTATGTCTCAATTTCCTTATTTGTAAAGCTGGGATAACTTCTCACAGGAAGTTAGGAGGATTTACTGAGATAATATACATAGCATCCTTAGACGAGTGCCTGGCTCTTAAATGTTGGCTATGGAATGGTCAGATGTAAGATGAGAATCTCCCAGAAGACCCTCAAAAAGAATAGGCAAAGAAGTAGGAGAGGCCGGGCGCGGTGGCTCACGCCTGCCTGTAATCCTAGCACTCTGGGAGGCCGAGGCGGGAGGGTTGCTCAAGGTCAGGAGTTAGAAACCAGCCTGAGCAAGGGCTAGACCCCGTCTCTACTAAAAATAGAAGGAAATTAATTGGCCAACTAATATGTATAGAAAAAATCAGCCAAGCATAGTGGCACATGCCTGTAGTCCAAGCTACTCGGGAGGCTGAGGCAGGAGGATTGCTTGAGCCCAGGAGTTTGAGGTTGCTGTGAGCAAGGCTGACATCATGGCACTCAAGAGGTAGGAGGAAAAAAAATAAATAAACGGGATAGCAAGGTTCAAAGGCAGTGTGTAATGGTGCCAAATATTGTTGAGAGATGACATACGATGAGGATGGGAACATCGACATTTCATTCTGTTAAGAGATGTTGGTAGAGTAAGACAGGAGAGCCAGACTGTGTGGGATAAAGAAGGAGCTCTGGTTTGTTATCTTCTTTTCCTATATTATTCTACATTATTATTAATAATAAAATATTATTTTTAAAGGAGATAAAGGCGGAAACAAGACAAAACTCACAGGCAGCATTTTATGCGGAGTGCCAGTCTGGCCTTCCCCCTGAATTCACAGAAGACTCCAAGAGCACGTAGGAAATTACTCTTCAGCACGCTACATGCTATCATAACCTTTTTGCTCCGCCACCGGGCCCAAATGTAAAGGCTTAAATATTACCAATATTTTTTTTTAAAGGCCAGCCCCTTAATTGCTGTCCTGGCTCTTCCCCGAAGCCCTTACAATTCCCTTTGTTAGTGTCCAACTGATTGAGTTACAGAGGAGCTGGCCAGATTTATCATCACAATTGCTCTCCCTGTAATCACATTTGGACCCAAATCTGACTAGAGTGAAAGTGTGAGTATTGAGACCCTTTTGCTAATAACGAGGAATGCTTTGGGCATTTCAAGTTTGAAAAAGAAATGCTGTTAACTGCTGAGAAATAAAAGGGGCTCCATAACGTGACAGTGGAAAATAGTGATAGGGAAAGGAAGCATTCAGAACAATGAGCCTGGACCAAGAAGGCCTCTTAAGAGCCCTGGCATGGGCAGCCAGGTATAGGCTCAGGCAGGAACTAAGAACAGGCAACCTTGGGTGTGTGGGTAGGACCCAAGGGTCCAGCATTA